AAGTGAAAACTGGATGTTTTAACACCAGCAATTTGATCAAGCATTTGAGGACAAAACTTTAAATAGTTTGTTGCTGCTAGCAGTAGCACAGCGCAACCAACACTGAAGCAAGTTCTCCAGAAATGTGAGAAAATGACAACAGACAATCCACAGGCCGTAAGGATAACTGAAATTCTTACAGATTTATTGCAACAACAGTTCAGCTGCGTTACACACTCCACAGTCTCTTGTACATAACTGTTTGATGCATCGCCATCAGTTCTCAGATGGAGTTGATATTCTGACGAAAATTGTTCTTATATTGACCAATTTAGTGAGCTCTGTGATGTTCTGTGTGTCAAGTTGAAAATATGTGTCGGCACCAAGTGCTCAGCATGTGTGTAATCTATCAAAATGAAGGATGGCTGTCAGATTTCTCCATCCCAGTGTAAACAAATCCATATCAGTATTGGTATCGCTGAGTGCCTAAACTGAAGTACTCGCACTCGTTCTTGAAAAAACTGGCATCGGGACACCTCTAGTTTAGTGTTTTTAGGGTTTAGTGTGTTTATGGGGATTTTTGACCATTCTTTCAGAAGCACATTTGTGAGGTCACATACTGATGTTGGACAAGAAGGCCTGGCTCTCAGTCTCYGCTCTAATTCATCCCAAAGGTGTTCTATCGCGTTGAGGTCAGAACTCTCTGCAGGCCAGTCAAGTTCATCCACACCAGACTCTGCTATCCGTGTCTTTATGGACCTTGCTTTGTGCACTGGTGCACAGTCATTTTTGGTGGATTATGGTGAAAGCCATTATGCTGCACTTGTGAAAGTAAAACTGTTGGGCCTCATCTTGACAATCAGACATTAATTCTGAGTTTCACACTGCCAGACAGGACACGGTGAAAAAAAAATAGTGGCTTTCAAACTTTCTTGACTGAGTCTCTGGCATTAAACAATGGCTCAAACAAAATTTCCTGTTTTTAAATAAAGTAAAGGCTTTAAATACAATAGCACTCATTTTTATTTCATTTATGTGAATCTTTTATTTTGTTTTATAGTTTATTCTGTTCTTAATGTTTGTTTTTCTTTTTCACTGTGAAGCAGTTTGATCACCTTTTTGTGTTGTAAATATTTTATAAACACATAAATGTACGAATATAACAATAAGTTATAATTCTCTTATATGATTGTTTTTTGGCAAAAAGAAATATGTGTGAAAATGTGTTCAGTTGCTCTAGAAGAGAATTACATAGTTTCGGGGGATAAAAGAAAACATCTCACATTCACTTTTCTCCTGAGATATCAAATTTACAACGAGGAGCCTGTGTTTCAAACTGAAGGGGGTGGATTTTGAGAAACGTGGGCATTTATTAGAGGGAAAAAATAGATTCTTAAATTACATAATGGGAAGTGTGGGATCCAATGATTTTCAGTGACTCATTCTAAAACACAAACGTGCTGAAAGTCATTTTTTCCTCTCAAACTGAATCACAACCTAAGTTAAAAAGAATAAAATCAAGTCACAAAAGCTCTAAATATGTTCTGATGTGATGCCTTTAGGAGTCTGTGAAGCTTTACATTAAAGTTAATATTGCACAAAACTAGAATTAAAAATTTGCAGATGGAGAAGGACTTATTTATTTTGAATTTGCTAATCCCAACATAGCTTTAAAACAATCCATTTAAAAATACAAAACACACAGTTCCATTGGGAACAAGGTGCTGTGATTTTTGGTTGCAGTAGGTTGCATGATGTAGAAAAAAATCTTAGTCTTTCTTAAGGGCTCGACACACAGGCAGCGACAAACTACAGCGATTAACGGCTGTCATCGCAGCCAGGGTGAAACCCGACACACGGGACGCGATAGCGATCGCAGCGTTGCGAATCACGCTCTCAGGTCGTTTGTCTTCACAAAATTTGATTGGTTCTTGACTCTGAAGGCGGGTGTGCATTACGGACGTGTAAACTAAACAAATCTTGCGATGCTAATGATATTGAAAAACAAACACACATCAAGATACAGTTTTATGAGGAAAACCTTACCATAAACTTCACCCTGGTGCCAATAAATTCCCACAAAGCTTTTTAGTAATCACTTGGTGAAAGTGTTAGCTAACGGCAGTGTGTAGCATACTCTCCTCTCATTGGTCAGCCAATGAAACCCTCGCTGATTGGTTGTACGCTAAGCGACAGCGACAAAAGTTGAACATTTTCAACTTTCATATGTCACGTCGCAAGCTCGCGTGTGCACGTCTACGTGTACGAGCGCGAAATTTCACATGCACTATTTTCGCCGGTCGCTTAGCTGGAGGAGGGCAAGCGATTGTCGCCTCACCGCACAGGCTCCATWGGAAATGAATGGAGAGTGAGCGACGTCGCCTCCCGTGTGTCGAGCCCTTCAGTCTCACTTTCTGGATAAGACAAAAGATGCTTGTTGTGYCATGTAGAAGGGCAAGAGCTGTGGTGACATGAGCGTGAAGTGGAATATCAACAACAGATAAGTAGTACTGTCAACTCTCATGAAGGTCTACACTTTGCGGCCATTGTTTCCAAGTTGGGACAGCAGGGTCATTCCACCCCAAATCACCTGCCGATTTTAACCTAACAACCTCAGATTTTAATGAAAATTAACACATTTGTCAACTGTGATCCCACAGCACAGTACTCTATCTCAAATGTTAAGTCAATTGGACCAGTGCTTGACCCACCAGAATTTCGGATTGTCACTGGCAATGCCTCAGTAACTTGCAGAATGTAATTTTCATGTCTCCAACCAGTGGTGGGCACAGTTCCCCTAAAGCCCTAAAGCACTAATAGGGGAACTAATTTCCAAATTAGTGCTTTTGCTAATTTTTAAATTTATCAGTAGATTAGCACTTGCTGAATTTATAGGCTAAATTTAGAAGCACTAACTGAGGTATTTAAATGTTATTGATCAACGTTAATTGAATAGAAAGAGCCTTTATTGTCCCACGCAGGGAAATTCAGTTTTTTCTTTATGTTAACAGCTGAGGGTAAAATCTATTGCACATTTTGTTCATACAGTATGTGTGTCACTTATCTGTCATCAACGTCATCAATCATCTCAACCCATGCCTCATTGTCATATAACACACAACCCCAATTCCAAACAAGTTAGGAATTGGGGTTGATGATTTGTAAACAATGATTTGTAAATCCTCCAACCTATATTCAATTAAGTACATTAAAAAGACAAGATACTTAATGTTCAAATGGATAAACTTTGGTTTTTTGCAACTTCATTGGAATTGGGGTTGTACATACTGTATTTTTGTATGTATAACGCAAATAAATTAACCCCAAATATTAAACATAAAAACGTGTGTTATACACTGGAGTAAAATTTGACAGATTTTTTTTGTATATAACTGAAATATTGTGTCGCAGTAGTTCCAACAGGAGTTGAAGGAGGAAAAACTTTTTTTTCTCCAGTCTCACCTTTTTTTCTGTCACTAACAAGATGTATGTCACTAAAACAACTGTTCATCAAGCTACAGTCATACAGTTGGGTTTCTAGTGGTTAGTGACTCCAACTCAGCTGTCTTGTAAAAATGATAATACTGTATGGATTTTATGGGTCTATTCATCCCAGAAGAAACACTAAATGAATACTAGAAGGAAGTAAAGGGAGAAGCTTTTGAAATAAATAAGACAAAGTTGGGAAAAATTTTGAAAGATTTTCAGGATTTGTCGTTTGGTCACATTTAGGTATGTCTGTGTTTTGTTCACAAGTGACAGAAGAATGGGGCATGAGATCAAGAGATAGTGCAGCTTCTACAGTACGGCTGTGTCCAAATTCAGAGGCCGTGTCCTCTGAAACCTGAATTCTTCAGCTGCTTACGTCACAGCGCCGCGCCGGAGGCTGTCCAAATTAGAAGTCTCCTCCGATGTGGCCGACAAATGCATTTTTTCCTTTGCCCTGATTTGAAGGACTGATCYGATGGATCCTTCTCGGACCACCATATCCCATAATGCATTGAGGGCCAACCGGAGATTTTTTTCTGCTAGTAATGGCGGACAAAGTGAGAGAAAGGAATACATTTTTAAATAAAAATCTGGTAGTATAAAAATTAAAAGTTTCAAGCGATTGTGTTGTTAATACTTTTATTTTTGTCAGAAAAAAAACAAGCTGGTATAGTGAAATAAACATGCAACTACAGTGGGTCCATTAGTTCTTTAAATATTACTTTTAAGTAGGGATGTCCCGATACCACTTTTTCACTTCCGATATGATACCGATATTACAACTTTGAGAAATGTCCGATACCGATATTGACCGATACCGATATTGACCCGTTACTGTAACAGTGCAAGTCACACACTTTTACCTATTTTGTAGTGT